TAATTTGAAGGTAAGTGAATGACGATTCACTAATTCTCCACCATGAAAAACGAACGAGAGATTAAGTTTTAAATGTATTGAAAACTCCTAGATTCTTTTTTGAGATTCATTGAACTTTCCAATGGCATGTTTAAATCTCAATATGCCTCTCTAGTTTTTGACTGGGATGTCGAGGATCACAAAGCGAGTGTGAATAACATGCAAATGTACATGATGCCCTCATTGTTAAAGTCACCTATTCGATGTGTCGGTTAACCACGTACGCTCCATCGAACTACGACAAACAATGAGTCATCTTTTGCCACCTTTGCTTAGAACCCAATTAGTGTTCCGGTTAACCACACACGCTCAACTAACGTTTTAACAATGGTACAAAGTGTAATTTCATGGAATTGCATCAAATTCACTTTTGCCTAAAGTAACTAAGATTGATAATTTCTGGAAAACATTTAGTTACTTTTATAATTCATTATACTTTTAATGAGGAGAGGTTTGCCCTATCCTACCCGTTCGGCTAACGACTATCCACCAATCAAGGAAGCGGTGGGTGAGAGTGGACACCCATTAAATGACCATTTTATAAGCCATAACCTTATACCCCCATTGTAGATCGGCTTCGTGAATGAGGCCTACTAACGGTAAGACTAACACTTTATGCTATATATATATATATATATATATATATATATATATATATATATATATATATATATATATATATATATATTAAACTTGTAATATTATAATAGTATAAGGTGTATTTTAAACATTTGAAAATACTAGAGTTTTAATCAAATTTAAAATTTCTGAAAATAAAAATCTTTTAATTTGAAATTTTAAATATTAAAACTTTGATTTAATAAATCCCAAAACTAAACAATTAATTTGAATTATCAATCTTTAAAGATTATTTATTAAATTAACAATTAATTTAACCTAATCCCTTAAATCCCTTAAAATTCGAAACTTGGGATGTGATAATTCAAAAAATATTTAACTACCATATTAAACAATTAAATGGATAATCATTATCCAGATCCCTAAAATTTAGGAATATTATCTTGGGGAGGAGGCAATTTCGAAAACCCTAAAATTCAAAATCTTGGAGGCTAAGGAAAGGGTTTGTGAAACCCTGTCAAAATTTCGAAATCTAGGGTTTAGGAACCCTAATTTCGAAAATCAAGCCCTTAGGGTTTATTGGCTATAAACCCTAAAATGCCAAATTCATACTTTTGTATAAGATCTAATTGAAAACAAAACCAAAACTCTCTGATACCACTGATGAGTTTTATACAAACAATCCTATATGTGCATGCAACCCTATATTCGGATATATGTTTTCACTATTAGTCATACAACATTGTGAACATAAAAGAAACCTATCATGCTTCTAGTATTTTCGAAAATCACATAGAAGAATAGAATACATACCTCTTGTTGTTATGTGGTAATAACAACTTGTTTCTTGAATCTCCTTATCTTTGAAAGCAAGTACCACAAGTGTAGTACCTCTAATGGCTCACAAACACCAAGAGAAAATGGAAGAAGCAAGAGAGAGAGATCGAGAGAGAGGGGGGGGGGAATGGAGAAATTCGGCTCTAGGAACTATAGGGATCAAGTGGCCGAATTTCCCATGCCCAAGGGTCCTTTATATAGGTGTAGGAATTAGGGTTTCAATCATTACCCTTATCTGGTTACTTGGACACCAAGCGGCCCATAAGATAATTCTAGAATCCCTTATATGGACGAATTCCTATGGCCTTATCCTTAGAATTCGTCCACCCTATCTTCTAGGGCTTCCTTGCCCAACTTTATAACTATCACATAATTAAAGTTCAGTCCCCCTAGTTCAATTAACTTCATTTGATCACAAAATTACTTCTTAATTAATTATTGACCAATGTTAATTAAATCAATATGATTTCTCTTTTAATATATTATTCTTTTAATATATTATTCTTATAATATATTAACAAACCATAATAACATCTTTCGCTATTATTCCTCCAGCCAAGTTGCTTTGGTGAAGGCAACCCAAAGGACCATGCACAATCGGGTCAAGTACTTACCAAATATGGTTACGGGCTTAAACACTAATCCAACAAGATCCAAAAAATCTTTCATATTTCTCAACTACGAAAGTGTTTAGCCAATAATTCCACAGTAGTTCCGTTGGACGTCATTCAAATTGATGAGCACCTGAATTATGAGGAGCAACCGACTGCTATTATAGACAGGAAGACGAAGACCTTGCGAAACAAGGTGATGAGTTTGGTTAAGGTGCTTTGTTTTACATTTATAGAAGACATGTAACCCTAATCCACTTTATGGTATCTCTATTTGTGAGAGAACAAGTTCTTAGTGAAAACCTTAATCAAAATATGTTTTCGATTTAGACTTTATGAAACCTTTTATTCTCTTGATGATTTTGTTGCTTGTTGACCTCAACGATCCAACAATTGGTATCAAAGTAATTTAGAACATCTATTCTAAGATTTACAAGTAAATTGTCCAAAAATCATCTATGAAACTCGAAAATCTAAAAAAGAATAATAAGAAGAAATATTTATACAATCATCTCCATCTGAAAGCTAATCATTACAAATGGAGAAGAATGGGTATGGTATTTATACTTAGTTATGATATTTTGAAACCGATACATGTTATCAGGGTCATGTTTTGTCTCCGAATTTAGAAAACAGTTTATAAAATAAGAAATTAGCAAAGAAACTTTTTGTGTATGATGATGAACCTAGCAAAAATCATCCATCAGAATGTCGGTCTTGTTTTCCTGGACTGATGCAAGAACAAGAACCTTTATCTGCTGGCTTCATTGTTGAACTAATTCCGAGAGACAAGGTAATCCATAAGAAACAAGAACATATAAAGATCTTGAAAAGAAACCGGTTGAAAAGGAGAATGATATATTTTATCTGAGTGAGAAACTTGAGGAAAAATAAGTTATAAAGAAAAGCTTTTCATTTATAAATGTTCAAACAAAAGATGTACATGAAGAAAATTCATCCTCATGAAACCCTAATTCTCTCCCTGACGAACATTAGAATAGTTCTCAAGCTGATAAGCCCCATACTATAAAACATAAAACAGTCAAGCTACAAGCTGCACGTACACAAAAAGTTCCATTAAAACCCACTACCATTCTCAAACGACCCACACAAGCTCAAACTCAAACATGTTCTAACCCTAACAAAATGACTCCTTCAGTTTCATCTCACACTACGAAAACATGTTCTAACACAAGTTCATGCTACTAAGAAAGTTCAAACTGCGAATTCAGTTCATGCTGCATCCTCATCTCACTCTGTCATGACTTAAGCTTCAGCTCCATCTCTGAAAATCAAAAGATCTCACGTTGCTAAACTCCTTGATGAATGTAAATTTTATTAAAAAAAAGAGTGAAAAATTATGAAAAGTAAGCTTATAAATGTCATTTTACAAACCCGTAATAATTAGTTATTAATAGAGTTTTTTTTACATAGAAGTATTGTTTGAAAATCACAGGACCACAACATAGCATTTTTTATAGTTATCATAACATGATCTTTTTAACAAATAATAACGACTAACCTTAAATTTTGTCTAAATTAAAGTTTACAACTTTCATCATTTAAATATTAGCTACCACTTATAAGTACCAATTATATTTGCCAAACATACCTATAGAGTAAAAAAAAAAAACTTGATTGTATGTGATTTATTAAAAAAAGACTTGATTGTAAATGATTTGTTAAGGTAATGAAGGAAAGCGAAAAGAAACAATTTATGTTTTTTTTTTTCCCTTTAACGCTTAAGAACTATTTTCGGAATTAGAAATTGCATATTACTGGGCTCATACGGACTGTCTTGTAAACAACAGGCAGCCCAATTCGTTAAGGGTTTCGAATCTCAATTCGGGGCCGAATATTCCACTTTATTTTCAAGGCGAAAAAGAAAAAGAAATATCGTAAGAGGGTAGCGCTATATTAGGGTTTTAGAGAGGCATACGCCGCTCACTTTATATCTCTCGTTGTAGACCAAAGCCAAAGGTCTCTGAGAGCTCATCTATCTTAGCCGCCGCTCTCTCTCGTTTTCTTCTAGGTAAACTCGATCTAAACGTCTATTCTCATTGATTATTTCATCTGATCTGTTTTCGATCTTAATTATTATCGGTTATTTGTGTTATTTGTGTTGTCTGATTTGTTTTTTCGTTGCTCAATATCAGTAGTAAATGTTATTCGTTATTGTAGATGATATTTGTATACTTCATGTTGTTTAGTGAAGCTATTTATGTGGTTATTATTATCTGATTTACATCATATTGAACCTGTTTTGTTTGAATCGATTTGGTTTTGTTTGATTGAATAGTAGTCGGTGTGTTATTAGGTATTCAAATCAAGCATGATTGGTTGAATAATCGTATGTTGGTGTTATAGGATATGAAGTTGGTTGATATGATAATATTTAGTTGTTTGCTTGCTCAGTGTTCGTGTTGTCTCCAGTTTCTTCATAAAAGTTTTGTGGCTTGAATCCTTTTAGAAACGATTTAACTTCTGATTTTATCAAAAAACATCAATCGTTGACTTTAGCATGTTGTATGATCTTTTCCTCCGTTATTAAAAATACGTGTGAGTCTTGGTAATATTTTGTCGAGCATGTACAGAGTTAGTATTTAATAATCTATCAGTTTACATTGGACATCTCAGAGACGATACTCTGTTTTTTTGTGGAATAAGATATATTTGAAGCATGCCTTAACTGATTCTTTTGATACTTGTTTATAAGTTTTATGTCACATGGAGTATTTTTTGTCTCTTGTATTTAATTTGTTTTTTGTACAATTTCACTGGTTAAGTACAAACTGAATTCATGTGAGCTATCATTCATATTAGCAAGTTCAAATCCACCTCTAAACTAATCTGTTATCTGCTCTTTTTTGACAGGATTTCTGTTAGAAGCATTCAAACTACATTTTTGTTAGAGACAACTAAACACCAGTCAAAATGGTAACTCATTGTTTCACCCTTGTTATGATTTTACATCTTTCTTGGATTATTGTATTTCTTACCAATGAAGCTTACATTATAATCTATCTTCTTAACACAACAGGTGAAGTTCACAGCTGAAGAGCTTCGTAGGATTATGGACTACAAGCATAACATTCGTAACATGTCTGTTATTGCTCATGTCGATCATGGTACTATAACATCTTCCATCTAAACTCAGTTTGTCAAAACCATATATAATATTGGGTTGTTTTCATTTTTTGTTTACTAATGTTTATTTGTGTTTTATTTTTTTATAGGAAAATCCACTTTGACTGATTCTCTTGTGGCTGCTGCTGGTATCATCGCCCAAGAAGTTGCTGGTGATGTCCGTATGACCGACACCCGTGCTGACGAGGCGGAACGTGGTATCACCATCAAGTCCACCGGAATCTCCCTTTACTATGAAATGACCGATGCAGCCCTCAAGGCCTTCAAGGGAGAAAGAAATGGAAACGAGTACCTCATCAATCTCATTGATTCCCCCGGACACGTTGACTTTTCCTCAGAAGTCACTGCTGCCCTTCGTATCACTGATGGTGCTCTCGTGGTTGTTGACTGTATCGAGGGTGTTTGTGTCCAAACCGAAACCGTCCTTCGTCAAGCTCTCGGAGAAAGAATCCGACCCGTTTTGACTGTCAACAAAATGGACCGATGTTTCCTTGAACTTCAAGTCGATGGTGAAGAAGCGTATCAAACTTTCCAGAGAGTTATTGAAAACGCAAATGTCATCATGGCTACTTATGAGGACCCACTTTTGGGTGATGTCATGGTGTACCCCGAGAAAGGTACAGTCGCGTTTTCAGCCGGGCTCCACGGGTGGGCGTTTACTTTGACTAATTTCGCCAAAATGTACGCTTCCAAATTTGGTGTTGATGAGGCAAAGATGATGGAGAGGCTTTGGGGTGAGAACTACTTTGACCCAAAAACCAAGAAGTGGACTACAAAGAGCACTGGAACAGCTACCTGCAAACGTGGGTTTGTTCAGTTTTGTTATGAACCCATTAAGCAGATTATCAACACTTGCATGAATGACCAGAAGGATATCTTGTGGCCTATGTTGGCGAAACTTGGTGTCACCATGAAAGGAGAAGAGAAAGAGTTGATGGGAAAGGCTTTGATGAAGCGTGTGATGCAGACATGGCTTCCAGCTGCTACTGCTTTACTTGAAATGATGATATTTCATTTGCCTTCACCACATACTGCTCAGAGATACCGTGTGGAGAATCTTTATGAAGGTCCTTTGGATGATCAGTACGCGAATGCCATCAGAAACTGTGACCCCGATGGTCCTCTCATGCTTTATGTATCCAAGATGATTCCCGCATCCGACAAGGGTCGGTTTTTCGCTTTCGGGCGTGTGTTCGCGGGTCGGGTTTCCACCGGTTTGAAGGTCCGGATCATGGGTCCGAATTACGTCCCGGGCGAGAAGAAAGATCTGTATGTTAAGAGTGTTCAGAGAACCGTTATCTGGATGGGAAAGAAACAAGAAACTGTGGAAGATGTTCCTTGTGGAAACACAGTCGCTCTTGTCGGTTTGGATCAGTTTATTACCAAAAATGCCACTCTAACTAATGAAAAGGAAACCGAGGCTCACCCTATTCGTGCCATGAAGTTTTCAGTGTCTCCGGTTGTCCGTGTTGCAGTCCAGTGTAAGGTTGCGTCTGATTTGCCAAAATTGGTTGAAGGTCTTAAGCGATTGGCTAAATCCGATCCTATGGTTGTGTGTACAATTGAAGAATCCGGTGAACACATTATTGCTGGTGCTGGTGAGCTCCATTTGGAAATCTGTTTGAAAGATTTGCAAGATGACTTCATGGGTGGAGCTGAAATTGTTGTATCTGACCCGGTTGTGTCTTTCCGTGAAACTGTTTTGGAGAAATCTTCACGCACTGTGATGAGCAAATCCCCCAACAAACACAACCGTTTGTACATGGAAGCGCGTCCAATGGAGGAAGGGTTGGCAGAAGCCATCGACGAAGGGCGTATTGGTCCACGTGACGACCCAAAGGTCCGAGGAAAGATTCTCTCAGAAGAATTCGGTTGGGACAAGGATCTTGCCAAGAAGATCTGGTGTTTTGGACCTGAAACAACTGGCCCCAACATGGTTGTTGACATGTGTAAGGGAGTCCAATACTTGAACGAAATCAAGGATTCGGTTGTTGCTGGTTTCCAATGGGCATCAAAGGAAGGTGCGTTGGCTGAAGAGAACATGAGAGGTATCTGTTTTGAAGTGTGTGATGTTGTGCTCCATGCTGATGCGATCCATCGTGGTGGTGGACAAGTTATCCCGACTGCCAGACGTGTGATCTACGCGTCTCAGCTGACCGCAAAACCGCGGTTGTTGGAGCCGGTTTACTTGGTGGAAATTCAAGCACCGGAGCAGGCGCTTGGTGGAATCTACAGTGTGCTGAATCAGAGGCGTGGGCATGTGTTTGAGGAGATGCAGAGGCAAGGGACACCTTTGTACAACATTAAAGCGTATCTCCCTGTGGTTGAGTCTTTTGGGTTTTCTGGTGCTTTGAGGGCTTCGACTTCAGGTCAAGCTTTCCCTCAGTGTGTGTTTGATCATTGGGATATGATGGGGTCGGATCCTTTGGAGGCTGGGTCCCAGGCAAGTACACTTGTGGGACAGATTAGGAAGAGGAAGGGTTTGAAGGAGCAGATGACTCCTTTGTCTGACTTTGAGGACAAGCTGTAAGCAGCGGATTGGAGAGTGAGGTATAATTATTATTCGCTGGGTTTTTATTTTATGCTGTGTCGGATTTTCTATATTGTTTTTTTTTTCCGTTGCTACTGTGATATGTTTTGTTGTTAGGTGTCGTGAGAACTAAACTTGTTTGCGTACGATGCTGTTAATTTTGATGTTCTTGTTTACTATTTTTAAGTTGAGTTTTTTTTTTCGTGTTTTAATTTATAGCTTCTTAATTTTAAAAATGGTGGATTTGGTTAAACTGTGTTTATAGGGATTGCGAGAATTCTACTGCAAAAATTATGAAGGTTTTTGGTTATGAAATTTAAAATTTAAAATAAGTATAAACGATAAAGGTTTGCCGTTTTCAACTTTTATACAAAGTAAATTTTTGTCGATCTTTTAAAAGAAGTGGAGTTATTTGTCTCTGGAGTTTATTTATGTAAACAATATATGTATTTGTTATGTTGGGATTTTACTTGGTTTTACTAATTCATGCAAAAAGTGGATATGTTATACTTCGTTAGATTTTTAGTAGTAATTTGCGACGTAACTTTGATAAGATATATTATGTTATATCAATACTTAAATGAGTAGAACATGTAAATTTCTTCAAAATAGGAAATGTCTTTAACCGATGTTAAACGACTGTCATAAAAAGAAGATACCGAAAGTATCTTTATCTTCACCCTCTTTCGTCTACACATCAGCTTAAGTTTTGTGTTCGATAAGTTCAAGAGTTTGTAAAAATCATATTTGTGTTGAAAAGGTACCTTTTTCAATGAATAGATTAAAACTTGTAAGATGAGTTAACCTCGTATTTCACAAAGATACTATTTTTGCGATTCAATAATCAGGTGGGGGCTTTATTACAACAATCGGTGCGAGTGAGGGAGCATTAAATAGCACATTAAACGATCATGTATTGTTGATATCAACCTCCTTGGTGAAAGGGGGACGCTGAGTCTCATAATAATACCTCACCCACTATGCTCACATATTATGCAAGATTTCAAATGAAAGTGACTACTCTCATCAACGATGATAGTTATCACTATCAAACGAATTTATACTTGTTCTATTTTATCAATAAATCATATGGTACCATTTAAAATGTGATATTTACAGTAAAAGTATAACCTGTTGAATATGTTGTAGAGGTCGAACTAATATACTTTTTCTAAGATTTAAACTATTATCTAATACAAGTTCGGTGGCATGGAGTCAATACATGCATATAAGGAGAATTTGATACACAAAATTGGGGTTAAAGGGTAAGAGCCCTCATGTTTTGTGCGGAGAATTTGATACACAAAATTGGGGTTAAAGGGTAAGAGCCCTCATGTTTTGTGCGAAAAACATTGGTGGAAAATCTTGTAAATAATCTAATGACAAAAAGTTGTGAATTTGGATACTCTTACACTGCAAACTGGATGAGAAGAGCTTCGGACCTACAAACCCAATGCAAAAAATGTAAGGACTTGCTAATACTATGAAAATTGGAGATGGAATTGTTGCTTGTGACCCGAAGAGAACATGAAAATCGATTTTTATGATATTGCTCCCCATGTAACAAATACTTGACCGATGCACACTTATACCCTTTCACTATATTGCTCCCCATGTAACTAAAACTGCACCATATGTAATTAGTCTTAGTTGTGTTGATCCTAATCCCTTTTATATCCACCTTGTTGGTCTATGTATGCAAACCAACGTTCAGATCAATCCTATATTCTACAACCAAAACAATGTTACCTGCAAAACCATAAACCATGACACATCACCTTATAACTTATGATATACCTCGCCATAATAAGGGAAAACATGTAAGAGTTAAGTGTCGAATGCTAATGAAGGCTAACTCCAAGAGGGAAGGCTTTGTGTCACGAACTACAGTACATACACATATCATAGACCTTCGATGTGTAAAAATTTTCATTTTTTTTTTTCATTTTTAAATCCACACAAAACACATTTTAACATTTCTCATACTTAATTATAAGTGTTTCAAAACATAAGACATAAAACTATTTGTCAAATATCCCAGAATCCTCAAAACATAAATCAACAAGTTGGTGTGTACAGTTATGTCGGCGCCTTCCCGTAATCCTGAGATGTACCTGAAACACATTTCACATAACACTGTAAGCATGAAGCTTAGTGAGTTCCCCAAAATACCATACACACATAATTAGCCTCTCATGGCTATATCTCGATAAGGACCCTCTGATCATGTGTCTCAATGAAGACCCTTCGGTCTCACGACTCGGTTTGGACCCTCTGGTCCTATCTCAATAAATGCACAGAGTAATATACAACATAAATCACAAAGACAATGCATAATATCACATATCTCAATATAAGCACATAAGACCCTCCGATCAGTAACACAGATAAGACCCTCCAATCGCACAATAATTACCACTCAAGTAAGTATAATGAGAAGACTCACCTCGTAAGTAAATAAAACGGACTCAATTATTGGCTTATTGGTAACCTTGTGACTATCCCTGATCCAAGTGTGAGTCCTGTGCTTCCGGTAGTATATGCATCTACTACCTTTCACACCTACTCATACTTGTCACAAGTATTGTCTCACACTTTTCCAAGTCACCATACAGGAAAAATCAAATAACAGTTTAACACCTCAGATAACAAAACGAGGGCTTTATTATTTCTCGAAACTATTACATAGGTGTTCAAGTTCACCCTAGACTATGCCTCTAATAGGCTACATAATACGATACTATGGCTACTGCATAACTTGATCTTCGGATATGAAGTCCTTATCATTGAACCCTCGCATGGTTTTCTGCTTCGTCGAGAATCATGTGGAATGCTCTTGGCCTTGGTGGTGTGTTTGGTCTTGCTGCCTCGTTTTTCTTTGGGCAGTCCCTAGAAATATGCCCTTCTTTGTTACATCCATAGCACACCTTCTTGTTGGACACACACTTGCTGGCGTAATGCCCTGTCTTTCCACATTTGTAGCAAGTCACATCCTCGCTACATTTCACGGAGTGCTTCTTTTTACACTTTTCGCACCACTTGGCTTCACCTCCTCCTCCTTCTTCAGTCTTTGAGAATTTCCTTTCTTTGTTGGACTTTGAAGATCCTTCATGCTTCTTTTTCTCGCCAACTTCAACTCTTTCCAGACCTTTTTCCATAATCTGGGTCTCAACATTCCTGGCTGCCCAGATGACAACTTTCAAAGTGGTTGTTTGCTTAACCATTGGACTAAAGTCTGCTGGTAATCCATGGGCAAACTTGTTAACCTTGGAGAATTCGGTTGGGACTAGGTAAGGAACAAGCTTCATTTTCTCCGTAAAACTTGCAGCATACTCGATGACACTCATCCTCCCCTTCTTTAGATTCTGGAACTCATTGTTGACCTCCAGAAGATCCTGCTCAGAGCAGTACTGCATCTTTAACTGCACCAGAAAATCTTCCCACGACATCTTGCTCGCTTCTCCTTTGGGCATCGAATCAGCTAGTAGCTTCCACCAGCTTAGTACTCCAGATTTCAACAGAGGAACCGCGAGAGTGGTCTTTTTCCTGTTGCTACACTCGCAACTCTCAAACATCGTCTCCATCTCGGAAATCCAGTTCATGACTTCCACTGGCGTCAGGCTTCCAGATAGACTCGGTGGTTTGGACGCCATGAAATCCTTGTATTTGCATCGACGTCCGTCATTTCTTCCGTCCTGGTGGTTTTGCCTAACTATCGGTGGGTTGGCTTGACCAACGGTCCCACTGTAGTTTCCCTCCTTAGTCTGCCCTTCGTTCAACTCGGGTTATTCGATCTGTATGGTCGCTTCCTCTCGATTTTGCTGGAGCAAACTTCTGGTTTCCTCCATTTGGTGATCCAAGATCTCCTGGATCATCGCTTGCACTCCGACCATCGTTATTGGCTCAGCAGCGGCCACCACAACCGGTATTTGCTCAATCACTGGGGGCTGATATCGGTTCCCATTTGCATTCACGTTTCCGCTACGGGTCCTTGCCATCTTGATCTATACATTGAATAAGGTGAATCTAGATCTTTATTTAGGATTGGCGTTTAAATCATCCTTATCACTCCGAAATGTTTACATGCTAGTTCTAATATCGTATTCGTACGTTTAGAATCCTAAACACATAAGGTTTCCAGATCCGGTCGGCAACAGACCATAGATCCGATCAAACTATAGCATAAAGCATAACAAATCATTTAGCACGTAAAAGCAATTTAGACATCATTCCTAAAATAAGCTAGTGCTTGTTTCTATTCAGGTGTATTACCTAAATCTATTAGACACACACCTCACAATCATTGCTTAGCATTCTAAGTTTAAGTCTAGAAATAAATCCATATTCCTAGTTCGCTTAAACTAATGCTCTGATACCAACTGTGACATTCCCATTTTAACGGCAAAAAAAAACCGATTTTGTTTATGCTTTATAAAAATCAGAGTACTTCTTTTCATAAAAATGTTGCGGAATTTGTTCCCATAAAAACATGATACATACTTTATCAAAACATTTTCGAAGAAACGTATTTTATTTATTTTAAAACGTTTGGGATGTCATCGTCAATACAGAAACATAAGCATAAACAGAACTTACTAGTGATCTACATCTTTTTAATATTTCAGTGTAATGTGACTTCATGACAACACCTGTAATATAAATAAACTGAGTGGGTCAGGTTGGGAAACCTGGTGAGTACATAGGGTTTTCAACCCACAATAATGTATTTATTAGGTTCAAACAATCAAACAATCAACCCAATTACCCATCCCCATTATCTTCATTACTCTTAAGGATTTTACCCTATGAATCAACCATTCATCGTTCATACATTCCTAAGGACCATCCTAAGGAATCGGAACGAAGTCCATCGTCGCTGGGGTTTAGGCACTAAGTCTGCATAGTTGCCAGAATTTATACAACAAGCACTAAGTCTGCATAGTCGTCAGGGTTTTGGCACCAAGTCTGCATGACCACCAGGGTTTAGGCATCAAGTCTGCATGATCACCAGGGTTTAGAGTACACCGAGTGAACACATCGTTCACAACACTTACAGGTTGCGAGCCTACTAGTGTTCCACTGGACTGTCTAGAAGAAAGAATGAGAAAGGTGTGAAGAAAATGAGGGTGGGAGAGGTTCTATTTATAGGGTGAAAATGGCTGAACTTGGTGCCACATGTCACCATCTAGTGGCAAGACTTGGAGAAGAAGCAATGGCCAAGATTGTGCCACATCACCAATTTTTGCACAACACATTTCCGACTTCTAAAATCCGTAACTGTCAATACGACCTCCGTTTTTGATGTTCTTTATATCGATGCATAGGTAAAAATAATATCTATAACTTTCATTTTGACTCCGTCGGCTAATTCTCGACCGATCTTAAATTTAACAGTACGAGGCGTTTAGATTGTTAAATGACCGTGAAGAATTCGTAACTCCTTCATACGGACTCTGTTTTCGTCTGTCTTTTTACTGTTAAGTTCCTATTAATGAGACCTTTAACTCTCATTTAAGTCGCGTAAGCTAAAAACCGCTCGAACTAAAATTCGAGTTTCGGGTCGTGCACTGCTAAGCCGAATCTTAGAAAAATCATAACTTCTTCATACGAAGTCAGATTTGGGCGTTCTTTTTATGGATTTTCTCGGTTTAACATATTCTACGACTTTCGTTTAGATCACTAAGTCTAAAAAGTCCTCCATTGTAAAATCACTATTTACGCTTCTCGGTGTCGTGCCGGTTCCGTCGCGAACTTCGACGAGTCATAACTTCTTCGTTATAACATGGATTTCAACGCTCTTTATATGTATAGAAACCTTGTGACATATTCCACAACTTGGTTAAGATTATTTATTCTAAATAATCTTTTGTCGAAAAGTCATT